CGGCCTGCGGCTCGGCTTCTCTCGCTGCTGCCGGGGGTGTGCAGGTCAAGGGTCTCGACCTTGCGTCCCCGGCGCAGCTGAGCCTGCGGAGGACCAGGGCAGCATGGCGAGTGAGGCGGGCTCCCCGGGAGGAAGGGGCTCCCATGGAACCCTGGATGAACGTAGGTGTGGGAAAGGGCACTGAGGAGGGAGGGGCCGGTAGGTCACTCTCTCGCCTAGGTCACCTAGGTCACTCTCTCGCCTTCCACTCAGATGTGCACGTTTTCTTGTACAATTGCTCTTTCCTGTGCCTCCTTTGACTATGGTGATAATTTGAGCAGACTGTGAGTTTTCATTTCAATCCCCAGATTGCCACAACCATGCAGTCTGTGTACAGGGTAAGGGTACAGGGCCTCTAAGGATCCCACTGTCTTTTATGGGAGCGACTTTGGGAGGAATCCTAAAAGGGTAAAGGATGGAGTGTACTGGAAGGTGTCTGAGAACTGACAGTATGTGCAGTACTGGTCAGAGACACACACTTTCACGTCTCTCTGTGTGCGTACGTGTGTGTGTTAACAAACCCCAGCTCTACAGAAGCAGAGGACTAAAGAGGAACTTTTGGGAGCCGTGGACTTTTCTCAGCCCGAGAGACTCTCCTCACTCCTTTTAACCTTCCTCCTACCGGGTCCAGGACCCCCCGCCGTCCGTCAAAACCCTAGCGCGCTAGGTCCTTCCGGCTTCTGGCACTGTTGCATCCGGTAAGCGAGGGTCTAGGTGATGGCCTACATCACCTTCCTTCCTGGGTTCATCCTTGAGCCCAACTCCTGGGAACGGCATGGCTCATTGGGGACTCCCTCTGAGTTCCGTCCTTCTCATCTGGCAGTAGGGCTCATTCTAATCCTCCTTTTAAACTCTCTCTCTCTCTCTCTAATCCTCTTCAGAATGGGAGCCTCTGCCTTCTCCCTCTGCGGTGATTCACCCTTACAATGTCTCTTAAGCAACCTCACCACCCTATCCCTCAAGCCTGACATTAAACTCAAATTCCTCACCAAGTTTTGCACACAAGATTGGCCTTATTATCCCTTAGATAACCAAAATAAGTGGCCCCCTGGGGGCACACTTGATCTTTTCATTCTTTGGGACCTTGTTAACTACTGCCAGCACCTGAGAAAGTGGAAAGAGATTTCATATGTGGAGGCTTTCTGCCTGCTTGCCCAAAATCCCTCTCTCTGTCTCACCTGCTCTCCTTCCCAGGTTCTCCTTGCTTCCAAACCCCCTCCATCCTCACTGCCTCCACTACCCCCTACTCCTGATAATTTTGACCCTGCTGCCAACCCCCCCCCCCCGTTCAGGTCTCCTTCTCCTGTAACTTCCTCTGCTTCCCCTCCGAAACAATCCCAACCCCCTCAGTTAACTCCGCTCCATCCACCTCCTGCGCCCGGCCGGCCGGCTGGCAAACAGCCCTGGTCTCCGGGACAACTGCTGCAGGGTGAGGGCCCACATAGTCAGTCTGTTCTCCCTCCTACCTCCTCCTCCCTTGTTTCTTCTAGCCCCACCTTGCCGCTATCTTGTTCCCTGCCGACTCCCATTTCACCTGCCCTGGCGCTTTCTTAAGCCCCCACTGTAACTCATTACCGAGGACTCCTCCCCTCCTCCACCGTGGCTCCTCTCTGTGAGGTGGCTGGAGCTGAGGGGATTGTTAGGGTACACGCTCCCTTTTCATAAGAGATTAGGGTCCATCACCACTGACCCCTCTACTTACATTAAAGAATTCCAATGGGTCCTTCAGGCCTACAGTCTCACACATCATGACATCTATATGCTCCTGGCCAACACCCTCCTTCCCGAGGAATGCGACCGTGTCTGGGGCACAGCTCAGAGCCATGCAGATAAATTCCACTGCACAAACCCTGCCCTCCCCATTGGCCCCCCAGGTGGTCCCCGACCACGATCCACATTGGGATTACAACATGCCACCAGGAATTCAGGCCAGACCACTTTAGTTCCTGCCTCCTGGCCAGTCTCAAAAAGGCTGCCCGCAAAGTTATTAATTTCCAAAGGGTCCAAGATGTTCTTCAAAACAAAACAAAACAAAACAAAAAAACTAGAACAAGGCCCTTCTACTCCCCAAACTAAAATTTTATCAGTGGCCTTCAAGGTCCTTCATAATAGGGAGGAGGAACGAGAACAAAAGGCTGATTTGGCCGACCTCCAAATGCTTGGCTGACCTCCAAATGCTGGCCAAAGTAGTTACTCAGCCTTCTAAGTGCCCTTCCGGGCCCTCTGCCTCCAAAAATCCCCCTGGTGCCTGTTTTAAGTGTGACAAAAAAGGTCATTGGTCAAGGAACTGCCCATCACCTAGAAAGCCCACCAAGCCATGTCCTAAGTGCCAAGAAATGGGGCATTGGGGCTCCGACTGTCCATTCATCTGAAGGGGGGACTGGCCTAACGAGCCCCAGCCATCCTGGACACCTCAAACACCTTTGGTGGGATTGGCTGAAGAGGAGGAAGAATGACAGGGCCCTGGGTCCTTCCCGACCATGACCATCACAAGAAGCGAGCCCAGGGTAACTATTGTTGTGGATAGCTGACCCGTCTCCTTNTTTGTTGAGAAAATACTGTTCATAGTTATGTCAAAATCTTAGCCCAGTGCAATAATGTCCCACGAATAAATAGAACATTTTTGGAGGAGATTGAAAAAGGGATCTTGCATACAAGAGTTCAAGTTTTGAAATTACAGAAGCCTTAGATAGTTATTTATAGCCAGGGCATGTTTTCACCTAGAAGGTAGATATAGTGTTGCTGCAGCAAGGAACATGTAACCTAAGTAACTACAAAAAGAAATAAGATTTCAGTTTTCCTAAGGAGTACAGGATTAGATCCGCTTCTTGTTGAGAAAACTAGAAGATGCACAACAGGAGGCAATTNATGACCGACCTGCAGGTCAGAGCGGGAAGACTGACTGTGAAAGAGGGAAAGCTGGGAAGTAGAAGTGATTTATCCCAGAAAACCACATTGCTATCTCAGGACAGCCAGAGAACATTTTTTCCTTTCTTGCCTCTTTCCACTGTCAGGTCGAGGAACTGGATCATTCCACGTATGGCTGTCGAATGGTATTTTGCTTTGGAAAGAACCCATACTTCCGCAATGCAGAGATCATGAAGGAGTATCACCTGAGCCTCACTGGTCAGAAGTGTCTCTGTGGATTTGGGGGTAGGTGTTTGTGTTCGAGGCAAGGCCAAACTTGGTTCGTGTCTATATTTTCCTCTTCCAGCAGGATACAGGGCAGTAATTTTGGAGATAAATAAATTGCTTGGGTAAACCTTTTGGAAGGGAATTGTCTGGACCATGTAACCTATGACTGACAGTGTGTAGTAGAGGGAGAGGTCCGAGATGACAGGAGCTTCTCTCTTTCTCCAGAATATCTTTGCCCTTGGCTTCAGTCAACACACTGCCCCCCCATACCAGGTTAATTATGGTGAATAGGCCAGGAGATTGGGGTCACCAATGGCCAATTGTTCATGTTTCTGACCAGAATTTGTTGAGAAAATACTGTTCATAGTTATGTCAAAATCTTAGCCCAGTGCAGTAATGTCTCACGAATAAATAGAACATTTTTGGAGGAGATTGAAAAGGGATCTTGCATACAATGGGGCAATAAAGAGTTCAAGTTTTGAAATTACAGAAGCCTTAGATAGTTATTTATAGCCAGGGCATGTTTTCACCTAGAAGGTAGATATAGTGTTGCTGTAGCAAGGAACATGTAACTTAAGTAACTACGAAAAGAAATAAGATTTCAGTTTTCCTAAGGAGTAGAGGATTAGATCCGCTTCTTGTTGAGAAAACTAGAAGATGCACAACAGGAGGCAATTTGTGGTACACACGTGGCAGAAGAAAAGACAGGAAACGAAAAGTTCCAGAGTGTTCTGTGACACAAAGGCCATGCTCATAAGACACAGGAAAATTATAAGAAAATGACAAGTAAAACACTTAACAACTTAACTTGGTAAAATCTAGAAAATGATTGATTTATGATGATATTTCTTAAGCTGGGGTGAAGGATGGTTTATGTTTTCTAAGGAAGCACATGAGATTTCTTGAAAAGGGGAGATACATATGCACACACATACGTGTACATACTTGTACATACACGTACATACTCATGTATATACATAAATATTTATAAATGCATATCCTAAATTGTAATTTCTTTGATTTGTTTTTACTTTTTAATTTTTAAGTAACATTAAATGAGAGCATACCATCTTTTTGTTTATTCACATGAGACATTTCCTTACATTTCTTTTTCCTTTAAATGCTTGAGAAAATTCGTGTAAATCTCTGTGGTTTAATTAGCACTACAAATTAACATATGGTTTTGTTCTTTTGTAGCATTAATCATCAGTTTTATTCTTATAATCTTTACGGGTTACCAGGATCCAAGTGCCAAGGACTATTCTCGGTATAGTGAAATATGTGGCTGCACAGTGTTAAAAATTAGAAATTGATTTTAAATTCTAGTAACCTGTATAATTTAGCTATGGAAAAGCATCATTATTGTCAGTTACCTCATTCAAATGAAAAACATACATGACAAAATATTTTGAAAAAACTAAATTACAATGATATTAATTTTATCTTGATCAGATAAAATTATTGTGTTGATTAAGAGCAGTATAATGTGTGGGTTTTTTATTTTTTATTTTTTTAGTGGTTTCTTAACTAATATGCTTAAAGAGATTTGAGATATGTATATATTTTTTCCTTTTTGTCTTTTTTCGTGACCGGTAACGGGATCGCAACCCTCAGTGTCACGCCCGTCCCACGACCGGCAACGGGATCGCAACCCTCGGTGTCGTGCCCACACTGCGCTCAACCAGTGAGCGGACCGGTCTCTGTATGGGATCCGAACCCTCGTCGGGAGTGCAGCCGTGCTCCCAAGCACCGCACTCTACTGAGTGCGCCACCAGGCCGGCCCTGAGATATTTTAGAAGACATCTTTTCAAAAGAATTCCTGAATTTCAAAAAATTTGAAGATATCATACAAATTGAGGGAAAAATAATCAGACAACATTATAGCCAAAAAACCCTGATTTTTAAAATATCGATTTTTTTAAGGTGCAAATTTAAGTTTTAGAAAAGTAAACACAAAGTCACTACCTAATGAAAACAGGAGATAAGTTTTTCTTAACTGTTATGAAGCATTAAAGCAAGACTCTTATCCTGGGCTGAGGAAGAGTTTTCAGGGGGATTTTGACCTCTTTAAATTATACACAACTTTTGGTGTGTGTGTCCTACAGAAACCTCCACACCTAGATGGGCATTAAAGACTGTATTCGGTGTGTGCTTTCTAAACTGCCAGTGCTGCAAAGATATCAGTCTCCCCAGTACCTGACCCTGAGCCCAGAACATTCTAGAGTTCAATACATGTTGGTGAGTTAATGGAAAAAATGTTAAAAATTGGAAATTATAAAAATAGAGTGCATGTGCATACTTGGAGAAAGAGAATTATCTCATTAACTGGAGAAGAGACTTAGCAACAGGGAGGTCATTGAGGGGAGAGTTTGTAGGCAACCAGATTAAAAAATGATAAAACGCAGATAATCCAGCAAAACATTCCCAGCCACATGGAAGCCACCATGCTCACTCCTCGTCATGAGCCACGTCCCCACAGGGAACCACAAAAGTGACCTCTGACACTCTTAGTGACTCTGGTCTGTTCTGAGCTTTACACAGGTGGAATCATACAGTATGTTCTTGCACCTGTCTTCTTTCACTTGTGCTAAATGTGTGAGATTCTTCCATGCAACTGCACATGGCA